CTTTAAGGTCCCTTCAACCCAAACCATTCTTGTGTTCCATGAAGGAAGCTCAGGCTCAGGTGCAGTTAAGAACCTGCTGCTGTTCTTCCATTGGGTGTCTCATTTGTGTAGATTCTCAGCCCCGCAAATAGGGAATGCAGTGGCTTCTCTAAAGATAGATACTTCATTTTGAAAATAGATGGTTAGGCTGCAGCCTGTCAAAGAATTTCCGCTTTAAAAGCATGGCTTTGTTAGTGCTGGGCGGTTTTGTGGGTTTTGCTGCTCTTTTCCTCCTGTTCTTAAAGAGGCAGCTGTAATTTAACTTAGGCTGTTCCATAGTTTGGGGAACTAAAACAGTGCTGTGCTCATGGCAGGCCAGAGATCCTGAGTCAGGGCACCAGTGTGACTCTTGGATGCTGAAGAATGAAGCGTGAATGATGATAAATGAGTAGCTTGTCAGAAACCACAGCCTGTGTTTTGGTTTGCTTGTGTGGATTTATTTTCATTTCATGGTAACATACTGAAATAGTGTCTAATATGAATTGAACTTCATCCTCCAGAGTTTGCTGTTGGATCAAGCGTTGTTCAGCTTTGAACTGCTGGCTTGAATGTGGAAAATGCTAGTACTGAAAACATCATCTTTCCGGGTTCCTTCTTGGCAATGTACTTCATTGTGAGCTGCAGCTATGTAGCAGGTTCAACTCTAAATGGTGGCAGCTCTCACCCCACCTTTCAGATTTCACACAAGGGCAGCAGGCAAATGGAATTGATGACAATGTGGGGTAATAGAGCCTTGCTTTCATGTGGAACTTAAATTGGGTTTTGTGACTCTGCTATCAGCTAGACAGCAGCATCCCCACAGAGAGAGGTAACGGGGAGTTCTCTGGAATACAAGTAAACTTGTATCTGTGCTTACGGCATGTTTTGGTGCCTACACGTGATGATATTGAGGAGAAAAAAAAATTACACCTGAGAAATTAGGAGGAAGTATTACCATAATATATTTCCATACTGGAGTGGTGCAATGCTCTTGTTTGTGTTACAGGACTCCTTCAAGGCAGACAGATATTTCTGTGATAATTTTCATTGTACATTTCAATTCTTTGCTGTGTGTTGCTGGAGCTGTTGAATGAGACACTCATCTCTTCTTTTACATGTAGTGTTTCTTCTGTTCGTCACAGAACGCCCAGCTGAATTGAAGGAAATCGTTCTAGTTGTCATTGGAAAGTAAGACAGGCCTCACTGAGATTTCTATGGAACACTGCTGTAGAAGTCTGCCTGCTAAAGCTAATTCTGCCCGGTTATCATGGAATGGTTAGGCTTGGAACCAAAACATGTTTTCTGCAAAAGCATAACTACCTCAGCCACCTTGTCAGTGCTGTTAGAGTTAATTTTTAATTTGCGTTCAGTTTTCTACCTTTGTGCCTTCAAAGCACATGAACTTGTGCTTTCAGAGACAAACAATGGCCAGTTACTTTACAATAGGTTATACAATGAGGTGTGGTATGTTTGGGTTTTGTTAACTTAATTCAGAGCCTGTTTTCCACCTGTGCAGCAACTGGGTGCAGTCATTTGAGTGGTTGTTAGTGGTTTGGATGGGTCTGATAATAAGTGACAGGATGTGATCATAAGTAGGAGCAGTCACGTAGTAGAGGTTGTGTTCTGCAATGTGGAGAGCACTGTATGTGGAAAGTGCACATCCATCCCTTTGGTATTGTGGACAGAAGAAAGAGTGGGTGTAGGTTTTCTGGATTGGCATCATTTTAATAGCTGCAGGGAGGAAGCACTTTTCCCCTTCAGTTCAATATAATAAATGTGTTTGTGGAACTGGTTTGGCAAGCAAGCAGTGAACCAGGGAACTGGGATAGCACATCAGAAGATAATCTTTTATTCTGGCAATTCTCTTGTAGTTCTGATTAGAGTTTGGTAGATGCATTGTAATACACTGCCAAAATTGGGGGGGATTTTGCCCTCTCCCATTGGGTTCTAGTGTTTAAGTTCTGAGATGGCAGTTACCTAACCTTCGTAGGGTTAAACATCAGTAAATCTTTTACAGCAGTAGCTCTGATATTTAAACCCTTCAGAAAATACAGTGCAGCTTTGCTTGTGAGTGGTAGGGCTGGAATTGTGAAATAGAATTTGCTGTTCCAGGTTTGCCCCACACTGAGTGAAGAGCTCAGGAATAAATCAATGTGTATGTTGGTGTTAAAGAGCTGTGGCTCAGGGTTTATTTCAGATCGTCCAGAGTGTTGTGTTTAGCTGGCTTTTAGGTCTAGTGGAAGGAAGGAGGATGGCGTTCTGGTGGGTGGCTTTTTATAGCACTGCCCAAAAAAACGCTTTGCTTTCTGACTATTTATTCTTGAATGGAGGGATACAAACCTGTTCTTGTGCCTTCCCAGGAAGAGGAGCTCTATGCGTGCCAGCGAGGCTGCAGGCTGTTTTCCATTTGCCAGTTTGTGGATGATGGCATTGATTTAAATCGAACCAAAATGGAATGTGACTCAGGTAAGACTTCAGTCCTCCTTCAGCATCCCGTAATGTGGACACGTAACAGGGGGAGGAGCAGGAGTGACTGAAAGGGTGTTGTTATACTGGTGGGATTACTTCAGTTGCTTTCTGGTTTTGTTTAACAACTTCTTCAAGTTTATGTTCAGGATATGAAAAAAACAAACAACTCTTAAGGAAAGGTTTTCTCTTCTCTGCAAGTTTCACCTTACCTTATCCTTAGCATTGCTATTTTCCTGACAAGATCTTAAGTGTCATCAGTCTCTGTAAGTAAATTAGCAAGGCTTCATTTTACTATAAACAATTTGTCATACAAAATGGTTGGGGGGAAACAATCCAGTCAAGTAAACACATTAGTAATTCCATGTGACAGTCAGCCCCATTTACCATGCCTGGCAGACTTGTGTATAAAAGATGAAGTAAGATGGAGTAAGAACACAGATCTTGATGTCCTGTCTGCCTTGTAACTTGTCTAAGCTACATCCCGAGCCTTACCTACAGCTGAACTCTTGGGAGCAAGGTATGCGTTTTGTTTGAAATAGGCCATTAGATACTGGTGACTGATTCTCTCAGATGATCTGTATTAGAGCAAAAATTTCATAGTGAAGATGAAATATGTTTCCTATAGTCCATATTAATATTGGGTTTGGATTTGTATAGAACATTCATCCAGGCAGCTGATTCACAGTTTTATCCAGAGATTAAGTGGGACATAGCCAACCAAAGCAGGAAAGGTAGGAGCTCTCTGTCAACATTTCCAGTACAATTAAGCACTAAGCCAGGACTCAAAAGGAGACTTTTATCCTCTCGGTAACTCATAAAAGCAAGAGGGGTAGTGGCTGGCTCAGAAAGCTGATAGAAGGTAGGGAAGTGGAAAGCCTGACATGCAGAGATGTAGCTAATGTGCTACAAAACTGGATTAAATACTCTAGAAACGGGCTAATGCTCTAGTCTGTCATACACCGTGTATAGCTGTGATAAATTATGTCAGTCTGGTTGTCAAACCACACATGAAAGAGTGCCATAAAAAAGGGTGATGTAGCAATAGACCACATGTAGAGGTAATTGAACAGTTGCTTACTTCCTGGTTTAATTCTCCTTCCTGAAGCTGTTGTCTTTTGCTGGCTTATGTTCTATAATCTGTTGGTTGGTGCCCTGACTAAATATTCTGTGCTTGGCAAGATACATCTTGGCTAGTCTGCTCAATTCTGTCTTCTGGTGCTTCTTTATGCCTACAAACCCTGGTTTGGTAGCCCTTTTACCACAGAATCGCTGTTTGGGTGCTAAGAGCTGAACACTCAGGTGTTTAGTGGCTGATGCCCTGCTTCTTGCCAGCTTTTTAGTCTTTATAATGGTCTGTTTGTTCCTGCAGAAAACGGGGAGTGCTTCTGTCCTCTGTATTGCTGCTTGGTTTGATTCTTTAGTTCAGGTAGTACTGCAACATTGTCCACTTACGCTTTAGTTTTAGGCAAGAGCTGTGCCCATCTATTGTCTGCCTGATTTCTCTGTGGGCAGAATAATCTAAATTATTCTACCTGAATAATTTAGATTTCTTGGTCTTTATGATCTCTGGTGAACAATTAATAGAAGGTATCTGTAAACCAAAGAGTTGGCGTCATTCTTCATTAAAAACCAACACCATAATACTTTCAGTGCAGTCTCTGTACTCATCATGCTAGCAGGAAAATGCTTCTTTGGTTTTCCTGTGATTCCATGACTTTTGCTGTTACTTCAAAGGGATTTAAAGGACTGATGGTCCCTCTGTTCTTTTTAGGTTTCCATCTCTGCTCTCTGAGGTAAAAATTCATGTTTTATGTGCTATGTAGAGATGAACTATAGGGTAGTGCAAGGATCAATGAAACCCGCACCCCTGAGTTTGGCCAGGGTAACGTTTCTGACCAGTTGCTGTGTTTGCATTCAGGTTTCTACCACCTCATCTGTCTAAGCTCTGATTCCTTAACTTCCATTAGACCTCAGAGCAAATGCTACCCTTGGAGTGACTGCAACATCTTTCCGTGCAAATGGGATTGTCAATCTTTCAAGTGCTGCTTTGTTTCTGATCCAATTTATACTGAAAATGTTTTCTTAACTAAAATGCAGAATTTATCTTTTCATTTGGGGAAATTCTTCCTTGCAGCCTGTACTGAAGCATACTCCCAATCTGATGAACAATATGCTTGCCATCTTGGATGCCAGAACCAATTGCCATTTGCAGAATTGAGGCAAGAGCAAGTAAGTAGATGACATGTTTTTCAAATACCACCTACTTGTTTTCTGTTCAGTGTGTGTGTCTTCTCTCTTTAAAATTTCTTCATATGGAAAATAAATCTTCCTAAGGACTGAAATCTAGATAATGGGGCAAGGAGTGAGCAAGAACAGCACTTCTGTCCTTTTCATATAAAACCAAATGGAAAACTGGTGAATGTTGTGCTTGCAGTTAATGTCCCTGATGCCAAGAATTCATCTCCTCTTTCCTCTGACACTGGTGAGATCATTCTGGAGTGACATGATGGATTCAGCTCAGAGCTTCATAACATCCTCATGGACTTTCTACCTTCAAGCAGATGATGGCAAAATTGTCATATTCCAGGTGCTTGCCTTTTTCATTGAGTTTCAGGTGTCCTGGCTGCTAAATGTTTAACTCTTCTTCTTCCAGGCACACAAAAGATTATAGAACACTATCAGAAGTGTTTAGGTTTTGCTAGTATTTCACTGCCTTTAAAGCTGGGGGAAGGGGATCAAACTTAGGTGAATGGTGCATGTCTCAAGGTTAACCATATTAGTTATGTAAATTACCGAGCTCAGTGGGAGCTTGCTAGCAAGATTTCCTCCTAACTCCTTGTTTTGTTTTAGTCAAAGCCAGAAGTACAGTATGTTCCACAGCTTGACCAGGAAACTGGAGATACAAGAGGATCCTTGCCACTGAGTAAAACAGCTTGTAAGTTGTTCTTTGTGCTTTGGAAGAGCAAATGCAAATGTTCCCTTCTTGCAAAATAACAGGAAAGTAGTTGCAGGTGGCACATGAAAGCTAGTTTGTAGAAAGCTGAAATAGAATAATTCTTTACCATGCAGACTGCACTGTGTGCACTTAGCAAAGCCTGTGGTAGAAATCAAGCTCTGCTGGAAATAGAAACATGCAAGTCAGGGCCATTTTAAAAGCTTGCCTGATGCTCTCTGGATAGACAAACTGTGTGGTATTTGGGTCTCCTTTCTTACTGCTTTCCTGACTGCTGTTTCTGCTGCTGTGTTTCAGCAGACCTACGTCCAGGGAGCTCACAGACGTACCGAGGGCTTTTTGAAGAGCGAACAAATGACAGCTTTTTCAAGTGTCTCTCCATGTATGTATATCCTAGAGTGTCTGTACCCAGTTAGGAGAGTAATGGCCTTTCCTCTGTGTGTTTGGGGGCACTGTTGCAACATCTCAAAGTCCTACAAGTCTGTCGGGTTCAGGATGAAGAGCAGTTAAAGTTTTGTGTCTGTTGCTGCTACTTTTTCATGCTGGGCCTGTGATATCTGGGGGCTGTTCTGCCAACTTGGATTTTTCTTTCGAGTTCAGATGAACGTCATATTTCCTACGCTGGTTTTTAGTGTGTTTTGTGAACTGCTTGATCAATAATACTGTGGTTTGCCTGTCCTTTAGCCCTGGGTATGTTCCAGGGCAAAGCACTTGTATTTTTGCTTTGGACTTGTCTGATAGGAAAGACACTGTTATGTCTCATTTCCAGGCTGAAAATACCCAGTATATCTTTATTAAAGCTTTACTGAAGATCAGTATGTTGATTCTTCTCTTCTTTACTCTGATTACTTTCTCCTTCAAAGTTTACACATGAAGGATCAGTGAACTACATGCCAAATACGTAACAGAAAAATCTAGTTTTAAAACTGAAACTGGGCCCAATAAAAAGAATCCAGCAAGTCCTTCAAGTCAGATACTAAACAGGCGTTAGAGTACCATGGGGTCTGAAGCGGCTGGGTAGCTGGAAGAGATAGAGGCTAATGAATCAGC